ATTGATTCCGTGTTCAAAGAAGAAAATTTATCTCAAAAATTAAGTCAATTATCAGCTATTGATAAAGAGCAAGAGGATAGCGATAAATCAAAATCATCAGCTGTCAAGAAACGACCAACTTTAACATCAAGTACAACAACAGATAACATCTCGAAAAAAGTGAAATTCGATAATGAACAACCAACTAGTAATCAAGTACCAAGATATTTATCAAGTCATAATAAAGCTTTTGAACAAATGATCAATCCTATACTTGAAAAAACAACAACAACAACAACAACTTCTATTAAAATTGAATATTTACGAGAGATTGCTATTCTTATTCATCAACTTGAATGCATTGATCTTGATAGATTACTATGGACGACATATTTACGTTCTGGAACAGGTAGATTAAAGCCAGAAGTAACTACATCAACATTCTTATTATGGCCTTTAGAAGTTAAACAGAGAATGATTGATCGTGGTGAAGCAACTACATCTGATCCAAATGAAATAGATCATGCTTCTTGTTTGAGTTATGTCCAGAGAGTACTACAAAAATTTCGAAATCAAACAGAATACTATCAAGCTCAATTGAAAGAAAGAAAAAAACGTTTAAACAATTATTGGACATATGAAATCGAAGAAGCTATTACCAAATTTGTTCAACAACATGTCACACCTATATATAAAGTACCTACACAAGGACAAATTGCCACTGTCGAATATGATTATAATGATCAATTAATTCAATTAGAATATGAGCAACAAAATCCAAATGAATATCAAAAAGAAATATTTAAAAATCTTACTCAAGCTAAATATGAAAAAGAAACATCTAAATTTGATGTAGCTATATTAAAACAACGTATTGTTTATAATCATTTACCAACATCATTTCATACACTTCAAATACCTCCACTCATACCATTAGATGCAATTATTGATACGATGACTCGTCAACGTTTAAAGGATCGATGTGAGAAAATTTTACAACGAACGAAATCTGAAATGATGATAATTTATATTGCAACAGCCGAAGCAAAATGAATGAATATGAAAAGAAATTCGATACTGATTTGGCTAAAATGAAAGAAAATCAATCTTCTGACTCATCACATAAAAAATTAACTCAAACAATGTTGAATATTATGGAACGACGTTTTCAGAATATTAATGAACGTCTTATATGTCTTTACAAATTAAAATTACGTTTTTTCGTCAAAGCTCCGACGGTCAAGAATTAGATTGGATCGATCGTCGGAGCATTCCTATCCAAAAATCAAATATCACTTGTTCACCATCAATAGTTCAAGACACACCACATCATCTATCACAGGAACAAGTTACATTTCTTAATCGTGGACCA